GACAGAGCCAGGGGTCGTACTCAGAGCAGCCAGGCCCAGGACCCCCGCCCTCCCGAGCAGGGGCAGCTGTGACACCAGCAGTGATGTCCCAGCCCCGTCAGTGTCCTGGGGCAGCGTGACCCAGAGCACAGGTGGGCTGAGCGCTCTGCTACCTGTGGGGGAACGGGGCCCACTTCCCCGTGGGCGGACTGCCGGCACCTCCCGGTTCTGCTCATGGTCCTGGGGGCCCCCCTGCCCCCACCCCGCCTCCCACAGGAACCCAGACGATGGTTCATTTCAGTGGAATTCCTCTAAGGCCGCATGGATTTCTCCTGGAATAATTTTATTTTCTTCTCTCCACAGGAATATGAACGTAAATATTATTTAAAGGACATGTCCTGCGATGGTAAGTCACCCGGGTCCTTCATTTACGGTGACTGTTTAGGCGTAAGGCTTACTGTCTGGTGTGAGTGTCAAGGTGTAATGTCTTTAGTTCCGAGAAGCGGGAACATGTACCTACACGCCGCTCAGGGAACTTCCCTGTGGATTCAGAGTCACTTTTTCACACTCAGTAGTGGCATTAGGGAAAACAGGCATTTGTCAAGTTTTTGGGGTTCATATAGATTGAATATGTTTTTATAAACATTCATGTTTTTAAGAAACCATGAGAGTGGCTGGTAGGAATTCCTGTGTAGCCCTGGATTAGCAGGACCCTGTTGGCTGCCATGCTGCGTTTTTAGTGGGACAGGATTTTGCTGAGCCCATGCTGCGTGTCAGGTGCTTTCTATACTCTCATGCTCTCTAACAGCTCTGCGACAGCACCCCACTTTACAGATGTGAAAACACGACAACCTGAAGCTCCGAGGGGTTACAGCCCTCTCCCCAAATCCTAAACGTGGCCCCCTGACGTCAGCCTGCTCAGGGCTGACCGCCTGTGGCCTCCCAGGCTGTGGTGGGAGAGGAAGGCGGGGCCAACCTCAGCCGACTCCATCCCCACCGGCCTCCGACGGCCCGGGATCCTTGGTCCCTTCCGCCAGCCTCCTCGGGGCCAGTAATGGAGCAGCAGACACGTCGAGGGCCCTGGCGGGTCACGACTGATCACAGTCTCCTGGCCCCTGGGCCTCGTCCCGTCTTCGAGGACAGCTGGGGTGGCACTGGGCCCCCCTTTCTATAGGCTGTGATGGGCCTCCCGGTGCCCAGGCCCCCGGGGAAGGTGGGAACAGTGCCAGCGGATGCTACTTGTGCCTTCCAGGACCGTCAACAGTCTCTTTCCTGTTTTTATTTTCTTTCAGCCACCAATAGGATCTATTATGAATTCGGACATAAGGTCCCAGAAAGTCACTGGAAGATGCTGATGAGATTTGTCGGACTTGAGGACAATGACATTGAGATTTGCGAACACGAGGATCCCGGCAATTTGATGGAACAGCATCATAAGATGCTGCTGAGGTGGGGAAACAAGCTCGGAAGGGAAGCGTCTGTGTTTACACTCATGGCTGCCCTCCACCAAATGGAACTACATGTGTATTTGCAGAATATTGTAAACAAATTGGTTGCTGATAATATCTTCGGTAGACATGCTGAGACCCCAAACTAGAGTAAATTCTTTTTCGGGACGGGATTGTAACTAAGCGATATCGTGGGTGGGTTGGGTCTGAGTTTCTTTCCCATTTCCAGTCCCATTGGGAACGTCCTGAGTCGCACGTGGGGCTGAGACCCTTATCTACGTGGACTCTTTGTAAAGCTTCCAGTGGGGAGGTCAGTTTCGCGTATAAGCAAGAGTGCTCCTCTGCTAGGCCAGTGCGTGTGGCAGAGACGGGCCGATGCTAAGTGATTCCAGGGCCCATGAGCTTGTCTCGTCGGGCTCCGCTCAGTGTGCTGGGTGGGCTCACGTTCCTCGGAGCCCCTTCCCCGCGCTGAGCCCAGGGGAGTTGGTGGCTGTCTTTCTGTCCCCACCAACTCCTTCATTTCAGAGTCACTGATGTCCCCGTCACCTGCAACATGGTGTAGCACTGACTGGGTGCTCCATTAATACGTAGGCGCAATGACAGTCACCCCGCCAGCCATTCTGAGCTGTCTCAACCTAGTTACACCTGTCACCAGGATCAGACTGGACATAGACTAGACCCCACCTTTCTAAGCCAGGATAGGCCTGGGTGGGCCATGATGACAGGTATAGAGACGTTTTCTAAGTGCCTTAAT